TCCCCGTACACCGTTGGGGTTAAATTGGCACTTATTCCATAATATTTTACTAAGCTCTCCCATCAACGGTTACACTATAATGTGTCTAAATACGACGCTACGTATGATGCATTTATCGTTAAGGAATTTAACTATAACATGTCTAAATTTAATGCGTGCGTTTATCGTTAAGGAATTTAACTATAACATGTCTAAATTTAATGCGTGCGTTTATCGTTATGGAATTTAACTATAACATGTCCAAATAATATCTTACTGCAGTTAAATGAACTGCACTTACGGGAAAAAAAAAGTCAAATTAAGTTTTTCTTTGTCCTTTTATAGGTCATTTAATTTTACAATAATTCACCAATGAGAGATGCCTAAAAACTATATTTGCAGGCGGATGGACGGAATTAATTGCTAGTTTTATAACTCTCATACATAACATCGATACTTGTACGTATACGTAATCTTTATATTGTCATTTATACTTAAAAGAAATGTAGTTATGGTTCGATCTAATCCATTTCTGGCTGGGCATGTAGCTCTTGCTTACGCATACATATCAGATATGTACGTACGTACGTACGTACTGTACATATCTAATATCTATACAATACCGTATGATCTACAGTCTTAAGACTAAGGATGTTAACTAATACAAGCCTTAAGACTAGGGATGTTAACTAATACAAGCCTTAAGACTGAGACTAGAAAGGCTCTATATTACCATCATTCTAGCCAAGCCGAATGACATCCCTGGGCATGTATATACACACCTATTATTTAGTAGAAAGTAACTTTATATACAGTTATTATAAGCATACTATGAAGGCCAAAAATGATCGTGATTGTACATTGTGAGAAAAGTTGTTTGTACAGTATTAGGAAAATTGATTAGCGTCATGCTTAAGATGACTGCATAAGGAAAAAAGAATCATGCGAGCGTGAGATTATAAAACTATGGCTTTTTATTAGATGCACTTTAGCTGAAGATTGCGCTAACAGAGCTTAAGACTCGTTAAATTTGTACTCATTACATTTGTGTTACTTCAGCAATGCATTGTCATCAGCAGAAATTAAGATGTTACAGTGAATTTCCTTTTCAGTAGTTGGACTTGACAATGTCAGAACTTAAGACCTGAAAAGATCTCAAAGTATCTGAATCATTCATTCGAAGAATTTCTAAATAACTTAATTACAAACACTAAGTTGTGTTTAGAAAGATTTCAAAGTAATCTAAATTATTAACATTATATATTTAAAGCATTTGAATTATTGACATTAAATCTGTACAAACATTGTGATGTTTTCCTAATTCGGAAATTGATTAAGACTTTCCTACGTATGTATGCATAAATGCAATGATAGAAAAGAAAAATAAATACTTTTGATGATTAGTAAATTGCAACCGCGGAGTTTGCCCACCCGCCGCAACGTTAACCGTTATGATATGATAGTCATACATCAACAAACTGACACGTAAATGCATGCAAAAGATAGCCATATATCTGCTAAAGGGGTAATAAATGATGCAGGCGAACACCTTTATTGATTTAAATACGTAACCGTATACTCTGTACTACAAAAAATTTCCTGTTCTATATTCTAACATTGCCAAGTATGAAGATATTAACATCAAAGCTTAAGATTTTTAAAAGTATCCCCGAATTATTTTGCATTACTTTGTACTAGATCAAGTTTATGTACTTTAGCCGTAGAGCTTAAGATTTGAAAAGATCTCGAACAATCCTAAGCTCCCGTCGAAAAATATAAATACAAGTTCTTTCTTCGCCTTTTTTTCTATTAATTGATTTCATAAAAATTTCTCTTATTAAATAATTATCTTCTTATTAAAGAATTAACAAAAATTATTTGAGTTTCCTCCTGTTTATTCACGTTTATAATATATACTATCATTATTTTGCTTATTATATCGGACTTATTAACCATGTCCTTTCCATGTCAACGACAACAACGACGAGGTCCTTACGCGACTAAAGCATGTGCTAATTGCCAACAGAGGCACATAAGATGCTCAGGGCAAGCACCTTGTAAACATTGTACACTACGCAATATCGAGTGTGTTTTTATTAATTCTGGTAAAAAGCGAGGACCAAAGACGCTATCTTCCATAACCCCTAACGTGAAGGGTCACGAATCAAACTTTTCACAACATCTCGATAATTATATTCCTTTTTATTTTATTCCTTTCGATGCATTTCAAATCAACGTTTCTGAAGAATCCGTTCCATTGTTTAATCAAGTCAATTATGTCATTCAAGATTTAACTTCTGACCTATATCAAAATAATACTTTCGATTTGCATAATCATACAACTATTTCTTCTAATTTAGATTATTTGCATTCAGAAAGAGTTTATAATTAATTACATAGAAATGCTATTATAAAAGAATTCTTTTTCATACATATGTATGCTATTTAGGATTAGTAATTTTGTAAAAATGCTTTTATTACTTTAGCAAAAAAAAAAAAAGCTTTAGAAATAAAATCGCAAATGTAAATGTTTTTTATTAATTAAAATCACAAATGTAAATCTTTTGTCTTTTACTAAATTAAGTACACTTAAAAATTTATAAAACATCAAAAAAATTATATATTTAAATATTTTTATATAAAAAAGATTAGTTTAATATTATTTATTTCAATAAAGGAAATTCTATTTTGAGCCGGGTCAAAATAACCCCACCTAGAATTGAGGGTTAGTGCGGGCCAGAATTAAGGTAATGCCGGCCGGGTTTTTATATTAAAAAACCCTGGCCAGCATCAACATAATTCTGGCCCGCACTAACCCTAAAGTTTTGCTGAGGGTTATTTTGACCCGGTCAAGATAGAATTTCCCTTATTTTAATATTATTACTAAAAAAAAATTTTATATATACAGCTTTTAGCTTGTTATTGTGTACTAAATTTTGTATATTTTACGTCTATATTTTTATTGGTTTTTTACTAATAAATTGTTTATTTTTTGCATGCCAAAAAAATTTTTATTCTTTGTACAAAAATATTAAAAAATGCAGCTAAACTTATCCCTTAAACTGTATATTTTAGTGTACAAATTTGTATGCTTAAATTTTTAGAAGAAAATTGAGATATAAAAAAA